CCCCCTCCTCCATCTTTTTTCAGAGTACTATAATTTTCACTGTATAAGTCTTTTACTTCCTTTGTTGCATTAATTCCTTTTTTTTTTTTTTTTTTTTTTTTTTTGTATTTTTTAGGGAAGGGTCTGCAGGATGTTCAGGGTCTCACTACTAGATCGGACTCATAGTGATCCGCCTGTTTATAGCCTCCCAAGAGCTGGGATTACAGGCATGTGCCACCATGCCCAGTCTCAGTGCACCCTGAGGGTCGAACCCCTGGCCCCTGCACCTGCTTATAGGCGCTTTACTCCGCTGAACTATTTGGTCTGCCCTTGTTAGATTAATTCCTAGGTATTTCAATTTCAGGGAATGTTATTGTGAAAGGCATAGTTTCATTAATGTCTCTCTTGGTGCATTCATTACTTATATACAGAAATGATTTTTTTTTTTTTTTTGCGTCTCCAGATTGCCTCCAGCGCTGCTCTGGGTTGCCTTGAGTATCTGGGAATCGAACCACTGCGCCCAGAGACTGACTGCTTCGTTTAAGCAGGCACTTAAGCAACTGAGCTAATGGGCAGGCTCCCGATACTGATTTTTAAGTATTGACTTTGTATCTGCTATGCTACTGAATTTGGTTATTAAATCTACAAGTCTCTTGGTGGAGTTTTTAGGGTCTTCTATGTAGAGTATCACGTCATCTGCAAATAAAGATAATTTCACTTCTTCCTTTCCAATCATTATTCCTTTTATTTCTCTCTCTCTTGTCTAATTGCTGTGGCTAGTGTTTCTAGAACTATATTGAACAGGAGTGATGATAATAGGCATTCTTGTCTTGTTCCTGATATTATTATTATTATTAATTATTGTACAGGGTCTCACTATGCAGTTCATACTTATAGTGATCTTTCTGTTTTCAGCCTCCCCCGCAGCTGGGATTACAGGTGTGGGCCACCACGCCCAGACTCCATCGTGGGCTCAGTGGACCTGGGGGTGGAGCCGGCATGGCATGTAGTACTGGGGATCCAACCCCAGTCTTCCGCGCTTGCCTAAGCAGGCGTTTGGTCTGCTGAGCTATCTCACCAGCCCTCTGTTCCTGATTTTAAAGTGCAGGCTTAGGCTGGGGACATAGCTTAAAGGCCTAAGTGCCACTCTGGCAAGCCCAAGGTCCAGAGTTCAATCGCTGGTACAAATAAAATAAAGTGAAGGCTTTCAGTTTTTGTCCATTTAGTATGAGATTGGCTGTTGGTTTGTGAAAGATGGCTTATATCAGGTTGACCTAAAGACCATCTATTCTAGGGGCTGGGGAGATAGCTCAGTGGAATAAGTGCTTCCCTGGCAAGCGCAAGGGCCTGAGTTCAATCCCCAGTTCTGGGGAAAAAAAAAAAAAAAAAAGACCATCTATTCTAATTTTCTATAGGGTTGTTTGTTTTGTTTTGTTTTTCCAGAATAGGGATTGAACTCAGGCCCTTGTGCTTGCCAAGGGAGCGCTTATTCTACTGAGCCATCTCCCCGACCCTATAGGGTTTTTATCATGAATGAGTGTTGAACTTTAGGCTTTTTTTTTTTTTTTTTTTTTTCCTCGAATGCCTTCAGGGCACTTTTGGCCAGCTGGAGAGGTGTGAGGTTCGAACTCCAGCAACCTGAGGCTGACAGCTTTGTGGAAGCAGCCACTTAAAGGCCTGAGCTAGGGCCAGGCCCCCAAAAATGGCAGAAGTTTTTTTTTTTTTTTTTTTTCCGGAATGCCTTCAAGGCATGACTGGCTGTCTTGTGTTGTGGGGATCGAAACAAAGCAACCGGAGCCTGACTGCTTTGTTGAAGCAGCCACTTAAAGAACTGAGCTATGGGGCAGGCCCCTGAGTGTTGAACTTTGTCAAAAGCTTTTCCTTCATTTATTAAGATGATCATGTGACTTTGGTCTTTGGCTCTATGGATGTGGTATATAATGTTTATTGATTTGCATATACTGAACCATCCCTGCATTCCTGAAATGAATCCCACTTGGTCATAATGTGCAAACTTTTTGATGATTTGCTGCATTCTGTTGGCTAGTATTTTATTGAGGATTTTTGTATCTATGTTCATTAGGGAGATTGGTCTGTAGTTCTCTTTTTCGGTTGGGTCTTTCTCTGGTTTTGGTATCCGAGTAAAAACACAGTTTCCCTGTGACTTAGTCCTCGGGATGTGGGTCGTATTCGTGTGGCTGCCCAGTGACTTACATGCAAGCTGGAACAAGCTGCTCGGCCTTCCCTTGCACGGCGTTCCTTATTGGCAAAACACACTCAGTAGGACATATTAGCCTGACATGGTGACACACGCCTCTAATCCTATCACACAGAGGCTGAGATAGGAGGATTTCTGAGAGTTTAAGGCCAGCCAGAGCTACAAAGTGAGTTCAAGGCCAGCCTAAACTACATAATGAAAACCAGCTCAAAAAAAAAGAGGCAAGCATACAGAGGTATGTGTGTGTGTGTGTGTGTGTGTGTGTGTGTGTGCAGTGTAAATATCAATAATTAATGAGTCGGGGCTGGTGAGATGGCTCAGTGGTCTAAAGCACCTACTTAGAACAAGCTTAGCAAAGCACAGGGACCGCGGTTCAATCCCCCAGCACCACATGCCAGCCAGCCTGCCCCCTGGTGGGCTGAGCTGGCCACACACACAAATAAATAAATAAATAAATAAAATTAAAAAAAAATAATTAATGAGTCATTTGAGAATAAGGCATCCACATATTGCCTTAGCACCTGCAAATATGTTATTATGTATTTTCCATAAACAAAAACAGTCTTCCTAGCTGGGCACAGGGTGCATGGCTGTGATCCTAGCACTGGCCAGCCTGGGCTGGAATAGTGAGTTCAAGGACAACCTGGTCTATATAGCAAGATCCCAAAAACCAAAAGTCTCCCACACACCCTCTGTGGGGTGATGGTGAAAATCAGTAACTCACACCAGAGGCCTGTTGCCCTCTAATCCAGATTCCCACCATCCAGAGTTGGGCCAATAACCTTCAGGTTCCCATGTGTAATGTGAAACCTTTCCCCTAGGGATAGCTTTATAAAAATGCTTGAAAGTATTTAGAAGCAATTAACACAGCCAAATAAAAGTCAACCCATTCAACAAGTGCCCAGGAGCCAGGTACCCTGGCACATGCCTGTTCTTCCAGCACTCTAGGAGACTGGGGCAGGAAGAACACAGATTCAAGATCAGCCAGGGCAACTTAGTGATTTTGTGAGACCCCTGTTGGAAAGAAGAGAGAGAACAGAGAAGGAGAGACTGGAAGGACCGGAGAGATAGCTCAGTTGAATAAGTGCTTGCCTGGCAAATGCAAGAGCCTGAGTTCAATCCCCGGGAGACCTTCCCAACTGTGGGAAGGGACCTGTCCCAACCTGGTCAACTCACCAGAGGATCACCCAGCCCAAAGGTGGTGGGAGTAGGAAAGGTCGAGTCTGGCTTGGGTTGGAGCCGGGGACCTACCAGTCTGTTCCACTGTCGTGAGCCAAACGTCCTGTGCTCACATTGTCAAGCTGACAAGGCCGGTGGATGCCGCCAGGGGGCGACCGTCGCCTGCTGCACAGGGTCTTGGGGCAGAGCCCGGGACTCTCCCTCCCACCAGAGCCGGAAACAGCCACGAACCAGGGTGGCAGACCAGGCTTGTGTGACTGCCAGGCTCGAGGTGCACGCTGGCTCTGGCCCCACAAACACTACCCCCAGCTTTCGGGAGACCCGAGAGACTTCTAGAGCCTGAGAGTCGCACCTGCTGAGGGAGCTGAGCTCCAAGGGCCTGTTCCTCCCTGACCCCCCGCCACAGTCACCCGGAATCCAGGGTAGCAAAGGGGCTGTCGGGCGTCTGCTAAGGGGCGCGCTGCGTCAAGGACTTGGAGCGGCTTCGCAAATCCCCAGCCATCGCGTCTGCCCCGAGGAGGCGCAAGCGGGGACCTGTCCCCACGCGGGGCGTGGCTGAGCAAGGCAGCCGGCGGGATTCCCAGCCCCTCCCGACCTGTTGCTCCGGAGCCAGCCAGGGGACCAGGCGGAAAGGTGAAGAGCGAGGCCGTAAGGATCTTTACGCCCCCGCTCGTGTGTGAGGGGCTGAACTCCGGGGGTGACGAAGCTGATGGGCATCCGCTCCCCCATCTTTTTTCATAGGGACCGCCCCCCCAGACCACCGTTGCCCGTGAGGTGGTGCCACTGGATGGTCTGAGCCCCTCATGGCCCCAAACCCCAGCTCCGCAGCCCGACCCAGCCTCAGTGGGTGAATCAGCGCAGGACCTTTGTGGCCCTAGGCCCCTAGGCACACAGGGTCTGCCCTCAGGAGCCGGTGTGAATCTGCTCCTCACACCAATTCCGCAGAGACCCCAGGCCCTGTCTATGCAGCACTCCAACGCCACTGGATATTGAAGCCATGTTTTTCCTTTTGTGTATTACACCCCTTAAAAATAATAAGGGCAGGTCTGATCGCTCAGCAGATTAAAGCGCCTGCTTAGGCAGTGTGCATCGGCGAGGGTTCGATTCCCCAGCCTGCAATGTCGGGGGTCCCCCGCCCCCGGGGCACACTGAGATGGTGGTTGAGTCTGGGGTGGTAGCATGCACCTGTAATCCCACTGCTTGGAAGGCTGAAAACAGGAGAATCGCTACAAGTCCGATCTATGTAGTGAGACCCTGTAGACCCTGTCCTAAATACAGAAAAAAGAAAAAAAAAAAAAAAAAAGAGTAAGTAAAATAAAAGTCTTAAATTTTGAGACAGGAACAGGCCTGAAGATCTATGCCTGTAATCCTAACACTCTGGGAGTTCGGGTTCAGCCTGGGCAAATCAGCAATTTAGGGAGACCCTGTTTCAAGATAAAATAAAGGATTGGATATACCGCTCAGTGCAAGCCTAGGCTATTCCAACTTGAGACCACCTTGCCTTGGCTTCCCAACCTGCTGATTTACAATGGAAACACCGTCCCTATTGCCTGGAATGTTTTGAATCTCGGTTTCCTCATAAATAGGAAGGGAACACAGAGACAGTATGAATAAACTGATGACACTTTATTTGCCACCGAAGGCTCCATCCCCTCCGTCGGCAGGCTCCTGGGCTCGCCTCAAAGGACCGTCACTGAACGCAGCTGCACGTCCCCGCCCACCTCCATCAGCCGCACATTCCCCATCGGCAGCCGGTGCTTGAAGTGATGGTACACTCCGTCCCCGACCACCGCCTGCGGGGAGAGTGGGGTTAAGATCCCGGGGCAGCGCCTAGGCCCGGCTTTGCAGGCGCTGTGCGGCCTGGACACAGTCACCTTCCCAGCTTCAGTTTCCCCAGTAGGAAAAAAAGGATTCACGGTAATTCCTTCTGGGTTTTAATTTGATCGCTCTTATTTATTTTTCATTTATCTTGATTTTTTGCAAAAAGCTTTCAGTATGTGTTCAGGCTGCCCTTGAAGTCACTGCGTGTGTGCCCCAAAGTGCATGCACTGGCTACAGCCCTCCTGCCTCAGCCTCCCGGATGCTAGGGTCAAGGTGGGTGCCACCACAGCGGCCTTGGCTAATGCTAACTGTAACAGGATCCACTGAGACTCCTGTTGCCACAGTACAAACGTGCTCTCTAGGTGGGGGTCGGTGAGCTCCACATCACGTCGGCGTCCCCGCCCTCCCACACCTCCCCGACTATCCCCACCCCTCAACCCTCACCCCACCGGCCGCACCTTGAAGCCCTCGTCAGTCGCGATGAGCAGCAGGTCGAAGGGCTGCCCGCGCTGGAACGGGAGCCCCGTGCCGCGCTCCTCGCGGCCCCATTTGCCGCCGTCCTTGCTGTTCAACACGACCACGGCCTCGTCCATCCGCGGGTTGAAGTGCAGCGCGGCGTCCGCCTGCTCCCCGTCGGTGAGCAGCAGGTTCACGTGGAACCTGGAGGACGCGGGCAGCGGGGCTCAGCGACCACCCTGCCCAAGGCCACCTGC